TCTGCCCCACTCATGGATTCTCTCTAGAAGTCCCATAAGCTACTCATAACACACAGTGGCCATAACAAGGTCTTGAGCAAATCACTCTTGATTAAAGTGGCACAGGCAAGGTCTCTTCTGTTGAGTATGAGGAGGTTGTCGTGACATGGAGGTGACAAGAGTAACTAACGCCAACTGCAAATGAGGGAGGGAAATGGGATCTTTTGTCTCAGCTCTAATAAAAAACGTCCCTTCATTAACACGTTCTTCTGCTAAGGATGGAATGGAGAATGGGAACTGGATAGCAGATAACAGGCAATAATTTAAATTTTAGGTAGAAAATTAAAATGTAAAATTGTGCACATTGATTTTTTGAGCTAAATTCATCTGAACTAAATTTGTTTTCCGCACGGATGTTAAACTTATAGGATGCATTTCTCTCTTGTTCCCAATTATACTCAATTGTCTGTCTGCTACTTAGTAGGCAATCAATAAGTAGATGTTGAGTAAGTAATGAAAAAATTAAATGAATAAAAAAGCAGGTAATGGGTTTATCACTAATCATCACTGAAAATTCAGCTGATGTTTTAATGTGGTGGGTCTTTAGGGCTATTTACTTAGTATTTCTGATGGTACAGTTCTGGGTGTGGGGTGGTGGTGCATTTATTTCTAGGACTCCACGTGGTTAGATGGAGCCAAGTGATGGTGGTCAGCTCATTGTGAGCAGAATTGGCATTTGTATTTCCTGAGCTAGGTCTTTAATTGCTAACTTGAGACCTACCCACTACTAAATCAACTGACAATGTAGATAGAGTGGTTTCTCCCTCGGCTTGGGTTACTAAGATGGTGACATGAAGCTGCTGGCCTGCAGTAGGCATGTGGCAAAAGCAAGATCAGACTTGCTTGGTTCACAGAATTACTTCCCCCATCACACAGACATGAATTATTTTCATTTCGTCAACCATGGAAAGGTTTTACTTATTACGAAATATTAAATTCGTGTCTGGGACTCACAATCACTTTGGCCTCTGAAATAGTTACCTACCCGAAGTCATGTTAGAAGTAATCATGTGGACACATAAGTACCATAATAAATACATTCAATGAGAATAAAGATAGAAAACTCAGGATAAAATATATTGTCAAGAAAAGCTTTTGCCTTTGAATTTTAGACTCCAGAGAAATGTAAAAATTAAAATAGTTGTGTTTGAACCAAGATAAATATAGCATTTTAATAAGGAGTATAATTAAAACATATTTTTATCTCTGTCAATCTCTTATATCAATTTATCATATAAATTGATTGATCATGTATAATATACATCCATTTAAAATTGAACTATGTAAATATCATTAAAAGAGCATGAGATACAAAATTCTCACTATTGTGCCTTAAAAGTATATTAACTTTCATAATCAAATCTGTCTTCCTATTTCCAAATTATATTTAATGGCAATTTTGGAAAATACCTAAAAGCTGTGATCTTTTTACCATAAAATTTTGTGCACAGCACAAATTAAAATAAATTTGGTTTTATTTGGTTATATCTTTCATAAATGATACAAGCAAAATATCTATTCTACCATTTCAGGAAATTATAAGACAATGTTCTACGATTTGAACCTCCTGTATAGCAAAACAAAAACAGATAACTAAGGAATGATATAGATTGGTTACCCTTTTTCTGGAAGAGCTATTTTCTAAGAAGATGAAAAAGATATTACATTGAAATTTGTTGATTTTTGGTATATGAACTAAATTAATTCACCAAGCAAGAGTAGTAAATGCAAATATTTGGCCATCTCTTCCATTAACCTCATTTTATTTTCCATATGTAAATAGCACCATCTGAACTCAGATTGAACCTGTTTGTTAAAGGCTCTGAAATCCAGGGTTTGCGTATATTTTAAACTCTCCACTTCGTTTCTAAATGTAATAAATAATTTAAGAGACCTAGCAGCATCGCTTTTTTTTAACAACAACAAAAAAATCTAAGAGAGTTGGATGAAAAACTCTAAGGAGTGAAAAGATGACATTCTGAAGCTTAAAAGATTGCAGACATCACATAGAAGATAGAGAACAAAACTTCTCTCATGTTGCCAAGAAACACAGGAGCCAAATTATAACCAAGCTAGTTGACACAAGTCAGCCTTGCAAAGGGCCTGGAAAGGTCACCACAGATACACTTCCAAGAATGCAGTTTGGCCCAGAAATCATAGGTTCGCAATCATGGAACAGATTATTGCAGTTTTAGCACAACCTTGATCAACCATGCACGGCGCACCAGCTGAGCCGTACTTTCTCTAGGACTATGCAGCCGGGTGACAAAAGCGCATCTTTTCAAATGTAGTGACTCCCTTGGGGCCATCATTGTCAAAAGAGTTTGGGTGACACATAGTTCAGGCAATCCCTAGGGTCGCTGTGTAGACCCCACATGAATAGAAATTGTAAACCCAGCCTGTTGTTTCCCAAAGGTTTTATGGTCCGTGTGTTCTTCTTGCTCTTTGGCGTATCCCTTAGCACTTCCTAACTGTCTGCAGTGGAGTTTGCAAGTTACTCACTATTTTGTCTTGACCTTTCTTGCTGATGGAAGCATATCCAGAGTCTATGACCATTATGACTTTACCCTTGACTCGTTTGACCCCAAATAATTTAAACCCGTTTCCTTCTTAACATTTTTAAAGGCAGTTTAATGGAATCTTGACTTTTTTCTCTTACAAAAAGTTCTTGGGTTTAGAAAAAAGGGCTTGAAGCATCACACGAAATGATGTATTTGCCTCCTTCAACACTACCTCCAAATAACTGAATTACATAAATAAAACATTACATAAAAAGTGCTTTGCTACAATTTATAGGAGATAAATTTAACAAGAGCTGGCTCATTGTAGGAAAATTCAACTTATCTTTTCCTGATTCTTTTAGTCTATACAGGGAGAGAAATTTATGTCAGTTTTAAAAAAATCGATTACTGGTTCTCATAACTGAATCCATTCTTTTTCTCCATGATCCATCAGGTAAAAACAAGAATAATAGATTGCTTTGACAGAACCTTGAACATAAACGTCCCCAAGAATCAAGCACAGTAAGTTAAACAGGTTTCAGGTGGTACTAAAACCGCAAAGAATAACCTTCCATATGCATTTCAAAATCAGATCTTACTAAAAAAATATGATATGCTACTGCAAGAAAAATTATATAGTAGCTGAATTTTCACAAGGAAATGAGATTTCAATTCATTTCTATGTATGTCTTCGCAGAATTGAATCAAAAGAAAAACGGTCTACTGTTTCTTTTTTTTAATAACATTTCTGTGCAGTGAATTTCTTAATTTCTTCTAGTCATCATCTTTGGGAACTCCCACCAAATGACTTGGTTACTGCCACTGAATAGATTAGACTCACAGCGACCCCTATAGGACAGAGTAGCATTGCTTCTTCGGGCTTCAGAGACAAGAGGAACCTCCCTCCAGAGGTGGCATGGGTGGGTTCGCACTGCTGAGCTTGTGGTTAGCGCTTCATTGAGTAGCGCCCAATACCAGGAGGACGCCTAGGGCAGGACTCTGCAAATGTGAAAACGTCCTCTTGTCCGAGGAGGTTGGAGAACTTGTTAATAATTCAAACAAGTGGCACGGTCCCCTTGTCGGGTGGGACCATGCAAATGGTAGATGAAAACCCAATGAGGGGATTGGTCAATTTTGCCATCCTAAACAAAAATCGCAAAGACTTCAGAAAGGGGCATTTCACAACCAAAGTGGCATGTACAGTATTCCAGGATCCCGGGACTAACCCTCCTCAAGACAGGAGACAGAAAATTAGGACACCAGCGACAGAAGAAGCAGTCAGAGCAGAGGTAGAGACATGCTAGTGGAAGCAAAGGCAGCGGAACCCAGAGACTGGCTGCAGACAGAAAGATGGACTTCCAGCTCACAGTGCAAAAACGGAGTCTTTGTCAGCAGGCGACCTGTAGTGAATTGGACTGTAGTTAGGCTTTTAGCATTGGAGCTAAACAAGCTTTGTTAACACTTGCCTAGGGCAGGGGTCTTCAAGATAGGCTCCAAAGAGGTGCGCCTGGAGCACGGCTGAAAGGAGGTCTTCCTGAGTAGAGAACTGAAGCCTGAATGTTTCCGATCCTGGCTTGTGTTCGGTTACTTCCCTCGCAAACCCCAGAATCGCGAGTATTGTCTATGAGTTTTGTGTGGCCATTGCAATGAATTACCATACCCAATAGAGAGGGGGTGAGTTTGTGCTGGAATTAGTAAAAAGGCTGTGGGGTCGATGCTTTCCTGATTTCTATCTCACAGGAATCGGCCTTGGGCTGTTCATTGAAGTTCTCTCTCCTCAGAGTCAAGTTCCAGGAGGGCGCACACCACTCCCACACCATTTGTGTGCCGGTTATTTGTCTTGGTGTCACTTAGACTAGATGACTTCAGAGAAATAATTGACATTATTGTACCTATTCATACTCACTGATAAAATGATTAGTGCTCTCCTTACTTTACACATATCGTGGTCATCACGGAATGTACCGTGGCTTTCCATCTCTATGAGGAGAGAAAGACAGAAGAGAAAGAAAGGGGAGGGAAAGTGAGGTGAGGGGGCGTGGCATAAGATGAAGGGAAGAGGAGGTGGGGAGGAGGAAGGGAGCAAGAGGAGAAGACTTTCCCTAGACCCAGGACCCTCACTTTGAACTTCCAGCCTCCCAAACTGTGGGAAAATAAATTTTTGTTGGTTAAATGCATCCACTTGTGGTATTTCTGTTACAGCAGCACAATAGAAAACCAAGACACCTTTTGTGGTTAGTTCAAAATACGGACCTACGTGCCAAAGGTCTCATAGCGACCCTATTTGACAGAGAACTGGCCCCTGGAGTTTCCTCTCCTGTAAATCTTTACAGGAAAAGGAAAGCCTCATCTCTGTGCCAAGAGCAGCCGGCTCGTGTGAGGCACTGACCCGGTGTAATCTGTGCCTGACTGTAATCCACTACGCCACCACGGATCAGAATTTGTTTGATGGCAGTGAGTTTGGGTTTTTATTTTTTCACTTTTATGCCAAAGCGCATTTGACTCAACTAAAAAAAAAAAATCAGAAAACCTGGGCCATAAAAATCCTACTGTTCTCCTTTAATTTCCCTAAACTATTTTGATACCTATTTCTCAAGCCTAACATGCTATTAGATGTTTTTCACATATTTTCATAGATAATAACTCACCAGCTTTGCAATCTGATTCTTAACATTAAAAGATTAAAACTAATGTAGATTATTCTCAGATGACACATACTGAGGTATAGAAAAATTCCATCATTTCCTTCTACTAATGAGAGAGATTTTAATTCTTTTCCTCAACAGCTGCTTCTCTTTTTTATTCAAAGGAGGGAAAATATGTGCAATTACTCCAAGTACAGTTAAGTCATTTAACATGGCTTCAGCTTCATTGTAGTCACAGGATATCTTAAAGAAAAAGGGGGGTGGGACCCTCAAAGCACAGGTCCTGCTGTGCAGCAAAGCAATCAAATTCCTTCATAATACCAGCCTGATGGGGGCCAACAATCCAAGGAATGATGAATAACCACTCTACTCAGTAAATAGGATAATGCTACAAATCACTGAGTAAAAACTGACTGTCATCTGTTGATTCTCTTGATCGGCATTTCCAACAATAAATAGAAATCTAAGCATCTTTATAAAAAGAAAAAAATAACTTTGGTTTGTTTGTTTGATTTTGCAGGCAGTAAGAAAATGACATATCATTTTAGATTATCCCGCAGCATTACCCAGTCAATAAAATGTTTATCTAATTTGTGTTCCATAATGCCCAACCAAAGCCACCCTATCACTCCAGTGAGTCCAGAAAAACCGATTATATTGTTATTGGGTACAGTTATGTTTGGGATATGATCATTTCATTTTATTTTTCCTTCATTATTTGCTATCGTTTCAGAGTGTTCACATTATGAAGTTATTTTCATCTGCGTATGAAGAAGACTCTATTTCAAAATAGTCCTCCAGTTTCCAATGCAGCGTCTCAAATGTTGGCCGGTCCTCTGGTGTGGCATTCCAGCACTCCAACATGATGTTGTAGAACTGCAGTGGGCAGTTAGATGGTTGAGGGAGTCTGTAGTTCTCACTCAACAACTGGATCACCTGAGCGCCTGTCTTACCTAAAAATACAAAGAATGAAACCAACAAAAGGACAAGGTAAGGTTCTGTGTCTTAGATCCATAAACAATTATACTCTACGTTACAAAGCAGATTGATTTCCTTGGTGAAACTAGGAAGTGCACCTGATTCTTTTCAGGTTGCAGAGAATAAGCTAAATCTGTCAGCAAATAATGTCTACCAGACTGCAATTCAAGAGTCAAGAGAAGAATGCAATAAACCACCTCATTAATGCAAACAATTGTCATCAACTTTTATCTATTAAGCTCCCACAGGCATTTGGTGTGGTCAGTCTCATCATGCTGCCCTCTAAGTCTGGGGAAAGCAGTTAAAGTCACACCTAAATAAGTGACCTGCAGCAGAAAGGCCCACCTCAGAATTAATTACTCACCACTGTAAGGCATTTTGCCATAAGTAATGATTTCATAAAGAAGGATTCCAAATGACCACACATCAGACTTAATGCTGAACTTATGAGAGCGGATGGCTTCCGGTGCGGTCCACTTCACCGGCAGCTTTATTTCATGTGTAGGTTCATAGATGTCTTCATTATCTACCTGTGAATGCATTAAGGAATCAAGCCAAGTTAAAGCAATTTTTTTTGGCCATCCTTATTCATCTATAACTTGCTACACATTAAAATTTAGAGGGACGAGACTGGAAATGAGTTTTATTCAATTGATAATTAGAGTAGCAAATTCAAATCGGGCATACTAGACTGGAAAATGTGTGGGAAGTCCTAAATAAAATACTTTATAGCCTACTATGTGCCAAGAACAGCACTGGCAAGAGCACGACCCTCCATATGGGAGGATACGCACAGGCTGATCCTGCCGCCACACCTGTTCTCCTGCAAGGAAAGGAAATACCAGCCTACTTTCTGATTCCCTGCTGGTATGGAAGCGCCACTGACTTTGATAATTACTACATAACCATTTTCTAATACTGAAAAGTAAGAACCAAATGATTTAAATTAATATCTCAGCTCACTGGGGTTCTAATTAATTTACAAATAAAAAGATGTATTAATGAGGATACAAAGCGAACCATGTATTTGTTGTGTTTCATGTCCCATGTGTCGGTATTTTCCGGGTACAAGTAGTTATTTAAAATTAAACAAACAAAAACCAATGAAATATAATTCCTATGTCAGTGCCTCTTACCTTTCTAAAATGCAAGGGTTCCCTCAAAAAAATTGTGGAAGGAGATCTCTAAGGGGAGCCAGGACAGATGAAATAAAATAAGTAAGCATAGTTCCAGAAATGGATTTGGGGGCCACACTAAATTCTAGCTCCAATTTAAGAACAATTATTTCTTACAACCTGGTTCTGCTCGATACTCACCCCCAAGGAAGGGAACACAGAAGCTATAAATACTATAGCAAAGTGTGGTGAAGAAGTTAGATGGTGCCTGGCTATCAGACAAAATAGTGTCTGGGGTCTTAAAGACTTGTTTCCAAAGCAGCAGGCATCTAAGTGACTGTCAACTAAGTCCACACGGAAGAGGAACCAAAGGATAGTAAATCAGATAACCCGAAGCAATGAAGAGAATAGTATCAGAGCCCACATTGTGAGATTTTGGTTTGCAGAAGGCTGTGGATGGCAGTAGAAGCCCAAGATACACTTGTGAGATCGCTGCCGGAAATAAGCCTCTGGGGATTGCCTTCTATCCATATTGGAAGGGTGGGAATAAACTACTTACTGAACAGAGAATATTGGAGAGATGACTATATGAGATCAAAATGATAAGCCTGACTTGAACAGTTAAAACCCTGTCAATTGATGCCCCTTCATATACACATTAGGCTTTATCTGGTTTTCAACATATTCTATTTTTGTTTGTTTGTTTTTATACTGGGGTTTATCTCTGCTATATCTTGTCATTATTGATAGCCCTCTTGAATTTTTTGTCATATATTTTTCTGGTTTTCGGTATCTGAAACCCAGGGCTGATGAACCTACACAGACAACAAGGAGAATCCGGGCTCCTGGGAGGTACTGTGGGGAGAGGAGGTGAAAGGCAGCTGATGTCAAGGAGTTCAAAGAGAATAATCTGAAACGGACTGTGGTAGCAATTGTACAATCCTGCTTGATATGATTGGACTATGAAGTGAAATACCTGCATTAGCACCGAATGCAAGGCTTTTAAGAAAAAATTGTGGAAAAATTCCTTGACTTTTAATACCATTTTTCCATGACCTTTTTGAAGCCCCTCATATTATGTCCTGAAATGGGGGAAGGGTGTATAGTGGAATGAAGTTTCTGAATATGGCGCTCCATTCATGGAACACCCACCAAATGACTGAGTGGGACTGTGCATACAGGCGTGTGTAACATTAATAGCTGGGATTGCTCACTTTTAATTGTCCATCCCCTGGCTGTAAGAAAAGCCATTTAAGCAAGAGGAAAATCCAGTACCACTGGAAGAAGAACATCGGTATTGCCAAGTCAAGATCTCTGACTGCTGTCTGGAGTGGTAGAGGCTGAGATCAAGGGCACCAAAAGTTGAGGTCAGAAGACCATCAAATTGATCAGAAGCAGTGAAGAGCCTAAGAGACTGTGAGGCAGCTGGCTTCCTGAGCTATGGAGGCAGAAGCCAAGTCTTATTCCAAAAAAGAAAAAGACAATACTTCCTGCAGAATTCTGCAAGCATGCAGATTAATCTGGTGTGAAGCGAGCAAAAGTAGTGAGGAAACTCACTGTATAGAATGTGCTTTTGGGGGGGGTAAGAGTCACATAGGCAAAATCAACTATTACTAGTTGAAAAAATCAAAATTAATTTTATTACATACTTGCCAATCTAGTTGGTTTTATCATTGCTCTCTTCTTGGTGAAGAAAAACGAATGGGCAGGTAGCTTGTTTGTAGCATCTTGGGCTACTAAAGTGGATACAGACCACCAAACTTAACAGTGGTGGCATTACTCTTCTATGGTATATAAAAGTAAAAATATATATCTATTGGTATATAAGAATTAAAAAAAAACTATTAGTGTTTGATCCTTTATGAGAATGAATTAAGACCAAAGTAACTCTACCTTGAAAACTCTTGCAAGTCCAAAATCTGCAACTTTGTAAATATTGTGTTCACCGACGAGGACATTTCTGGCAGCCAGATCTCTGTGGATGTAGTTCTGCGACTCTAGGTAAGCCATTCCAGAGGCAACTTGTGCTGCCATGTCTACTTGTTTATCCAGTTGGATTTTTGATCCAGCGTCATCTAGACAACAAGAGGGGCGGGGGGTTAATATATACGTTGGAGAACATTTGAAATACTGAAATGAATTCAGAACACCCTGATAAATGAGCTACCACTGGTGTTTTCATGGTATCACTTTACTGAATAAGGAAATATTATTAATACAAGTAATTTCAGTTTCTATGAAGAACTATAAGCAACAAGTTTCAGAGTCCAAGCACATTCCAAAGCTAGGGCTTGCCAGAGGCCTGTCCACAGAAAATAGCACCTATGGCAAGCACTGAGATTGTGTTCCCGTTCAAAGATGACACCCATCTTTTGAATAACTTTACCATAAGATCAGCTCCAAATACAAGTCAAGTCCATTAACCTTTTACTTAGCACAACATGGAACTAAAAGAAAATTACAACTGAAGCGCCTTTGCTTTCCCTGATGAAAACAGGTCTTTGGTGTGCTCCACGTCACTTTTTTTTCAGTTTCTTCTCTTTCTATACTCACAGCCTGCCTTGACTCATGGAACTCACAAACACAAAAGCATTAGTGTCAACTTGCTGAATTATTGCTCACTGTGATGGAATCCACCATGGGCAACAGAAACTGTTGAGTGGTGTCTCCCTTCAAATAGTGCCCAAGGCACATGCCATACCTGTCATACCTGAGTCACATTTCTGAGGCTCTCCATTCCCCAAATGAACATTCCACAAAGAGAATGGAGCAAAGACGTCACATGCTCTAAGCATCGTTATACTTTTCTGAAAGAGTACAGGCTGTTGAATAAAGTACTGGTATTGCTATTTCCAATACCCCACACAACCGCCTCACTTCTTTATGGACATTGTTGCTTGAATGCCTCCATATATCTTTCAATCATAGAACCATTTTTTTTTCTGCTTGAAGCCTACATTACCATGCTAATCTGCCTGGTCCGCCATCATATTCTTCATAAACATATGAAAGATTGACCAATGGCTATCAATCAGGCATGCATTTTATATTTACATTCCACTAACCCATATATCAAAACTTAAGCAAATGTTCACAAGCTTGTCAATATTTAATCTGCAACCAGAAAATATTTCAATTATATTTTATTACTCAAGAACCTTTCAACAATACTTATCATAATGGGTCATTTAGGAGAGGAAGAGTCCTTGTAAGATCACTCTGTTGAATTAAATCCTCTTGATTGGGAAAGGATTGCTTGCAGTGAGGATGCTTTCTTTACTCCTAGCAGATAAGTTTCCCAGCACATTAAGAAGCCCTTGGATAATTTGACCTTGATGCCTCAACCCAGGAGACATACTCAGAGTTCATATTCAGCCCACAATAAACCACATCATCATCAAACAATCCATAAAAATCCTCAGAGTCAAATGAGGGCAAGGTACTAAGTGGATCTTTTAATGACTGTGTGGTAGTTACATAATCTGCTGCCAATTTGAGACTTAGGAGTTCAACCTCTCAATCAGGTCACAGCTTGATGACCTAAGTTGGAGATGCTAAGGCAGTGGTTCTCAACCTGTGGGTCGTGACCCCTTTAAGGATCAAATGATGCTTTCACAGGGGTTGCCTAAGACCATCAGAAAACACATATTTCCAATGGTCTTAGGAACCAAGACACCGCTCCTCTATCCATGTCCAGGCAGGTCTGACCACATACAGATAACACCCATATATGACTACCTGGCATGAAGGTTGTTACCCATGCTACACCATGCTTCAAGACAAAATTTCGTTTGTCATTAGAAATAAATATTTCACAATATATAATTACATATTGTTTTGTGATTATTTGCTATGTTTTAATTATGTTCAAATTGTAAAAATGAAAATACATCCTGTATATCAGGTATTTACATGAAAATTCATAATAGTAGCAAATTTACAGTTATGAAGTAGCAACAGAAATAATTTTAAGGTTGGGGGTCACCACAACATGAGAAACTGTATTAAAGGGCCGCGGCATTAGCAAGGTGGAGCACCACAGTGCTAAGGAGATAAATAGCTCATTGGAGGAGGGAAACAGGGTCACTCCCTGGGAGACATTGCAGCTGACAAGACACGTGGAGCCAGGCTAGTGCCCTGAGCTGAGGAAGCCTCATGGATACCCCTGCCAGCACAGGAGATGATCACAATGCCACTGGATCCACAAGACTTCCCAACCACTGGCATGTGATCTTCCTGCATTCGGCATCATTACATGTGTTTCGTGAGTCTGAGGAGGAGTTTATAGATTGGTATTGGACATATGGGCTAATATCAGACATATGGACTTGATCTAGACTGGGCTGGGATGTTTTCTTAATGTACAATTACTCTTTATATAAAGCTCTTTCTAATACACATCTGAGTGTCTCTATGAATTTGTTTCTCTAGTCTACCCAGACTAACACGGGTTGGGATCAAGATTCTCTAAATAAATTTGATTCCACACCCCAATCACCATCAATGTGTAAGGATCCTCACTTATCCATCCATGTATTTATTTAGTCAGTCACACATAAGCGGTCTACAGCTTCTGGGTGCCAGACATGGTTCTGGCACTAAAACAACAAATTCCTGCTGTGATGGAAGTCTATTTTCAAGGGTACTGGAAATACAATGAAGAACAAAAGGAAGGAAGGGAGTCAGACATCTTACGATGATTAGTAGAACGGAGAGAAAAAGGAAGCAGGGAAGCGTTAGATGAAGGGCCAACAGCAGGTGATTAAATATTAGAATGTAGAGGATTACCAGCGAAGGGCTCACCAAGATGTGATTATCTGAGTAAAGACTTCCAGAGAAAAAGAAAGTGAACTTTGTGGATAATAAGATGAAATTTTTCCAGACAGAGGCAAACCTATGCCTGGTAAAAATGAAGAGTAGCAAAAAGGGCCAGCATAACTTAGGAAAATGAGGGAAATTATGGGAGATGAGGTCAGATAGGGGGTGGAGGGCTGGGCCATCCAGGATCTGGGACCTTAGGGGTTAAAAACAGTTGGAAGTCATTAAAGATCGTGACTAAAAAAAAAAAATATTGAGGTGAGAGGGGACAGGACTGGATTTACACTTTCCCAGGATATTTCCAGCTACTGTACCGAGAGGAAACTGAAGGGAACCAAGTGAGGAAGTCATTTCATAATCCAGGGGAAAACTGATAGCAGCTTTGACTAAAATAAGAATGCGTTGTTGTTGTTAGCTGTCACTCAGGAGTCATTGTGACCCTACGCACAATGGAACAACATACTGCCTGGTCGGTCCCCAGCCCCATTCTCAGTGGCAGACCTGACCTCTGTGGTCTGTAGGGTTTCGCTGGCGGACTTTAGGAAGTTGATCTCCTGTTCTTTCTTTCTAATCCATCTCTCTGGACAACCTGCCCAGTGTCATAGTAGCAGGCAAGCCTCCACTGAGAGATGGGCAGGAGCATTGAGAAATAGTGGAGAAATAGCAGTATTGTTGTGAAGGCATGAGAAGAAGGTGTCTGGTCGGTGAGACATGGAATATGAAGAAAAAGTGGGAATGACTTCCAGATGGCTAAGCATTACCAGTATCAAGAAAATCCAATAAGAAGAGCATATGTTAGGGGAACAATCAAAGAGATCCATTTAAGAAGGTCATTTTGAAATAGCTATGTGTGTGGTGTGTTGGGCAGTGGGCTGCTAACTGTAAGGCTGGTAGTTCAAACCCAGCAGCCACTATTCACAGACATTTACTGTACTCTCTCTTCAAGCCCTTCAGAAGTTGGTCATTTTCTACTCTCTTTTACAGGATCCCACACAATAGAAAGTGTGCAGCTGTTCTCTTCTGTCACTTCTAGTCAGAGGCCTGCAGTGATTCACACTGTTTCCTGCTGCCAAGATGATCAAGGGAGCAGACCCCTGGAACGCACTGTACTGGACACGTAGCACGAAGAAGAACCGAATGCTTCTGAGAAGCCTCTGATGTGTCAGAGCTAATATAGCATCACTACACTATTGAGATGAATACAATAGTGAAGTCGAAAAGGTGAAAAAGCGGTTGCAGGTAGAAGTCTGAAGGAAGTCAGGGATACAATTTGTGGCGTCATCAATCGTCGAGTAATGAGACAGAATAAGATTAGCTCGCGGCCTCGTGAAGCCACACATGTCCCAGGGACGCAAGGCAATGGAGAGCTCTGGGAGATGAGGAAAACCACGCAACCGAGAAACCCAGCAAGAAGGAAGGAGGCAGATGCACTGACTGAAGGGCCTGGAAGCCAAGTGAATCCAAGGTGGCCAAGAGGTTTGGAGGGCCGAATTGACAGCTAGAATAAAAAACGGGAATATGTTGAGTGACCTCAAAAAGGTATTTTTGTGAGAGATGACCTACAATCTTTTTTTGCTTCCTTCATTCTTAAGAATACAGCAAATGGGTCAATCGCTGAGGTTGGTCTTTCTGCAGCATTAATCTTTGCTGACATGGCCTCTTTAAAGTGTTAAAAAAGCAAACAATGTCACAGGAAGAACACGAGGTACTCCTGAACCCAGCCATGGTATGTTCAATTGCTTCATATGCATGGGGAAGCTGGACAACAAATAAGGAAGCCAAAGAATAATTGATACATTTGAATTGTGCTGTTGAAGAAATTGAATATATCATGCATCATTGTGCTCATTATGAACTTGTACATGGACCAAGAGATACTTGTACGAACAAATCAAGAGAATACTTTTATTTGGTTTAAAATCAGGAAAAGTGTGTGAAGGAGCCATGAAAGGAGGACCGTGTCTCCTGTCGCGTATCTGTTTAGGACAGTTCGCAAACGGCTGTCCTAGCTTGTTCTTGGAAACTGCTTCCTTTTCTCCCTGGCAACTTGCACTCGAGCACAGGGTGTCCTTCAGCTGCAGACAGTAAGGAATTTGGGGAACATCTGCATACAGGGTTCCCTGGGAGCAGTAAAGAAGAGCAGTACAGGCTGAGATAGGGAACTCTGTCGAGGCTATGTGAAATTCAGGCATGGGAACAGGGAGCACATCTAGGAACTCTGCCAGTATTGATGCTTTAAAACTAAAAAGCTGTGCTCCTTCGAGCCTGCAGTCTTGTACCGTCTCTGTGTGTGTGTCTGTTTTATTCCATCTCTGTGTGTCTGTGCTGCAGTCTTGTATCATACGTGTGTGTCTATTTTGTGCTGCAGTCTTGTATTGTCTGTGTGTGTGTGTGTGTGTGTGTGTGTGTGTGTGTGTGTGTGTGTGAGAGTTCTGTTCTATGTTCATTTTCCCTGCTCGAGAAACTGCAACAAGTGTGTGTCAGGGTTGTATCCTATCCCCCTACTTGTTCAATCTTTATGCTGGGAAAATCATCAGAGAAGCTGCATTATATGAAGAAGAATGGATTGGAGGAAGGCTTAATAACAACCTGAGATATGCAGATGACAACCTGGCTTGCTGAAAATGAGGAGGACTTGAAGCACTTGCTGATGAAGATCAAAGAGTAGTCATCAGTATGTATTACTACTCAAAATAAGCTTATGAACACCAAAATCTTTACAACTGAACCAATAGATAACATCATGATAAAAATAGAAATATTTGAGGTTGTCAAGGATTTTATCTTGCTTGGATCCACAATCAATGCTCATGGAAGCAGCAGTCAAGAGATCAAAAGATAAATTGCATTAGGGAAGTCTGCTGCACAAGACCTCTTTTTTCTTTTTTTTTTTTTTAATCGAGAAGCAAGGATGTCACTTTGAGGACTAAGGTGCCCCTGACCCAAGCCATGGTAATTTTCATTGCCTCATATACATTTGACAGGTGGACATTGAATAAGTAAGACCATAGAAATATCAATGTGTTTGAATTGTCGTACTGGAGAAGAATATTTAAAGTACCCTGGACTGCTAAAAACAAACAAATTTTAAAAAACCAATCTGTATTGGAAGAAGTAAGGCTAGAGTGCTCCTGAGAGGCAAGGATAGCAAGACTTTGTCTTACGTGCTTTGGACAGGTTGTCAGGTGAGACCAGTTCTTGGAGAAGACATCATTCTTGGCAAAGTGGCAGGGAAAGAAAAAGAGGAAGGCTCCCAATGGGATGGACTGACACAGCGGCTGCATCAACGGGCTCAAGACCAGGGACCATGGTAAGGTGGGCACAGCGGCTGCATCAACAGGCTCAAGACCATGGTAAGGCGGACACAGCGGCTGCATCAACGGGCTCAAGACCAGGGACCATGGTAAGGCGGGCACAGTGGCTGCATCAACGGGCTCAAGACTAGGGACTATGGTAAGGCGGGCACAGGGTCAACCATGCCATGTTTGGTTCTATTGTAAGTAAGGTCCTGGACGAGATGAAACCAACATGATAACACCTAACAACAATAACAATCATAATCCTTGTGGGTAACTCATGTTTATAATGTTAAATGAGATGCCTGTATGCAACTGAGCTAGGTATATTTTTGTTTTAAATAGCATTTAACAATCACTACATTCTTTTTCATCATAATCCAGTGTGGTAATTTCATTTTACTAGCTTCATAAAACAGAAACCAAACCCACTACTTCAAGTATATTATGATTCATAGTGACTTTCTATAGAGTTTCTGAGGTTCTGTAAATCATATGGAAGCAACCTCATCTTTCTCCTTTGGAGAGAGTAGTGAGTTTGAACCACTGACCTTGCAGTTACCAGACCATCGCTTATCCAATAGAGAAACCAGGGATCCCTATCCTAAAATAGGAGCATACTCATCTATCTCAAATCTGTGTTCTGTTATTCTCACCTCTCTTTATCTCTATACATTCTATCAGAGTGCGCTCTGAGGTCTCAAGAAATAATAGAAAAGGTTTATGTTTCAGACACAAATTACTATGCCAACATTTTATCTAAATGATTTTGAACGTTTCATTTTATTTGTGTCATATTACTGTTTATTAAAATTTTGATTGGAATAACATGTTCTTATGTCTTCTCTGGCTGCATGAAACAGATATTACAATAAAGCAATAGTATCTTTCTGTTTCTTATTCTAATCTTCCCTAGGAGTGGAAGTGTTTTCAATATTTATCAGGGCATGCTGTTGAACGCAAACAGAAAAAATAACTGGGTGCCATTCCTCTACTTCCCTCAGGGTATTCCACAGCCCTGATTCTGGGCCATCGCAAGTATCGGCCCATGAATCAGCATGTCCAATTTCTTCCTGTAGGAAACAAAGCATCATGCAGTCTATCCATAATTCAATTTCCCACATTACACTTAAGTACGCTGATATGTCTATTGTGAACCATTTACTCTTCCACTACATAAATATTTTCCTCCCTTTGAGTACAAAGTATATAACCTATTAAAGAGCAATTGAGCCCTTCTATGGTAAGCCATCATTCTCACAGATATACCCATAGTAAATATCCTTTGGGTTAGAGAGAGCTTGCTAAATTGACATTTATAGGACTAGCTAAACTAAATTCCTCCTTTACCCCCTTCTTTTATACAGGCCTCAGCTTACTTTGGAGATATTCTTGCAGACTTCCATGTCTCATCAACTCTGTAATAATATAAATTGGATCTTCTAAAGTGCAAACAGCATAAAGCTGGATAAGCTTTGGATGTCTCAGATTCTTCATTATCTGCGCCTCCCTCAGGAAGTCATTTGGATCCATTGAACCTGAAACAAGAAGAGAGGGAAATCACTCCGTGTTACTGAGGCATCCTTATCCACACAGCAGCCTGCTGGGAATCACCGAGATTACTCCCTGCCTCAGTAAAACAAGAGCATGAGTGGCACAAATCTTCAGTGTTATCAAAGAAGAGAGTCAGCTTGGGGCAACCTAATAACTGAACATGTCGGTGCGTCGGGGGTGTGCAGTTTATGTGTGATGACCTGTAGGTGAGGAAAGGTTGACTCCAGTCCACATGAAAAATGAAGAAAAAGGGTGCAACTGACAGTCTAATTGCTAAAACAAGGCAGAACTCTTGCCAGCACAAGAAGAGGTTCTATTTGCACGAACAGGAGAGGGTCCGGGATTCTGTCGCCAGAGCTTTTGTGGTCTAGGGGCCATTCTTCAGCTGAACAGCTGACAGCAATTTTAAAGAAATGACCTTCGGCCATTTTTCTATCCCTAATTTTATAGGGCAAGACAATAAAGGTCAAGTAGAGGAGAGTTGAGGAGATCCCACAAAACTTAGTTGTTTCGTTAATTTTTAATGTTTAACCAAAAGCTGATATTGGATATGTTGTCCTATATTTAATCATCTTCTTCAGCAGATACTTAACTTGACCAAATGTTGAGAGAAACAGCATTGGACCTATGGAAGCCTCATCTACAATTAAATTGTAGTTGAGTAGCACAACCCTGACTCAGTATGAGAGGAACCAGACAGATAACATCAAGTGAATTCCGGGAAGCAAGAGGATCCCTGGGCTTTAGATTTTTTTTAAGTAAAATAAAAATCTGTCCATTGGTTTAGGATATGTTTCAGAGATGTTATTATAATGAAAAGAATATGCTCATTGCTTATCTAAATTCACTGTGGATCATGAAAATAGTATTACCACTCATGGCTAAAGAGACCACTCCCCTCACTATCCTCCCCAAGCTAAAGACCTTAACAAATGATATTGGACTTAAGCACAGGCAAACTCTGTTTTGCTAAGTGAGACTTGTTACTTGCTTGTTAATGCGGCATGAAAAGAGTTACATATGACCTACAGGTCATTTCACACTGGCAGTCTGCTCATTGAGAATCGAGAAATTCGGAAAGAACCCCCACATGATGGAGCTATGGATTCTGGATGAATCTCACTTCTGCTGTTTGCTCACTGTGTGATCTTGAACAGGTCAGAAAGCCTCTGTGGACTTCCCTTTCTTCATCTGTGTACATGATGACCAATAATCTTACTGAGAGCAGGAGATCAGAATTATAGCAATGCCTAGCACTTAAGTACCCAATGACCATCTATTATTTTAAAATTAATAGCATGCATACTGTGGTAAAATCAAACAGCTCAATTGCAATTACATATCTATGTATATGTATGAATATATATATATAATTTATAAAGGGACAGAAGGACAAGAACTTAATAAGGGCAAGGAGTTCAATGGTTCTATGATCTTCTCTATCATGTCTTTTTCAGAGCTTCTGCATTTTCTTCTCTATCATTAGTTTACTCTTCAAAAGTAGAGAGGCCTCATCTCATTTAAGACAATATGAAATGAAGAGTAAAATAGGCCCCTGAGCTACAGTAAAAGTCTTTGTTCCTGATTGTTACAATTGGTTGCACCTTTGGATCCCTTGATGAGATGGATTAACATGAAGGCTACGACTTGGCACAGGATGGGGCGGTGTTTCTTTCTGTAGTCCACAGGGTACCAATGTTGGAAGCAACTCGAGGACACTGAACAACAACAACGTAGTTAAAGATGGGACCCCCACCCTCCAAAATCAAGAATTTGATTTGTGAAGCGTCTAGTGATAGCAGCAACCATTATTAGCATTCCATTTATATTCAATATGTTTCTATGCTAATTCTTTGGGTGGCCATAGGATGCACAGACTGCAAGCCACTCAACTCATTCCCAAATGAAAGGACACTCAAGCGCGGATGTCACAGTGTGGACGTCTGCAGGTAAAGGCCACGCAGAGAATGCCTTAGTGGCCACACCAGTTACAGCAGATCAGCTTCGGAGAGCAAGGAAGATCCAATATCAGCTCACCAGTAATGCAACATTAAATATTAATTTTTGCCTGTCAAAGCGACTGTGGGAGTTTATTTCAGGCTCGTCTTTATTGTGTGGTAGTCTGCTAAGCAATAAATAGCTGCTAAGATTGATTAATGGCCCCAGTGAAGTGAAGACATTTAGCCAATCACCAAAGCTGTTTGCTGCTATTACACTGTAAATCAATAATAATTATTCCTGTTGGAGAGAAAACTACTGCGGCTTATTTTTTTTAATATAAGAAATCTTATTTTTGTTCTCTTGTGACCTCCAGAGGCCCTTCCTTAGAGAGCAATGCTCAGATGGATAGCTAGCTGCCTCTTTTCAGAAAAAGAATTATTAAATTGAACGCAAAATTCAATCTCAATTGTCACAACAAGATTACGACTTAAAAATAATATATACACACAGTGACACGGAAAACCTCAGGTGATGGAACAGATTGTCTTCCCCTGGAACGTGCACGTTTCCTTTGTTTTATCCCGGAGGGAGGTCTGGAAGCCAGGACAGAACTCCTGCGCCAGCACATTCGGCCTTCAGTGGACTGCGCCTGTCAGCAAGCCCATGGACGCTAGCTAGCATTTGTTCTGAAAGCACTGCCTGTACTTGATGTACACTAACTCAATTTGTCCTCATAAAACCCTCTGAAGTAAGAACTATTATCATTCCCATTTTTCAGGCGAGGAGATTCAGAAAGGTTAATCCATTGTCCAAAGTCACGGAGGACATACACAAGTTTCACATGGTTTATCGTACACCCAACTTCTTGTACTTAACTCCTACGCTAGGTTGGTGAAGTTGAAGTGGTGAAAGCATTCGCCCGCTAATTGGAAGATTGGTAGTTTGAACTCACCAGACGCCCAAGGAGATGAAGTTTTGTGGTCAGTTTCCCCAAAGATGACAGCTTTGGAAACCCTGTGGAACAGTTGAACTCTGCCCTATTGGTTCACGAGGAGTTGAAATGAACTTATGGGCAATGAGTGTGTCTTTTCAGTTTATTAATTTTTTTATTATGCAGCAGAGATTCCCAAACTTTCTCAGCTCTCCTATCTTTACATGACACCCCTAAGCCAAACCTAATACCTAACAGCTTTATTTATTAAGTGGTCATTTACAAAGAGCTTACCGAACCTTTGTGTCCTAAGAGGAAGACCCCCAACAGAACAGACTGACACAGTGGCTTCAACAATTGCCTCCGACATAAGAACAACTGGGAGGATGGTGGAGCGCAGGTAGTGTGCGTTCTGTTGTACGGAGTGTGCCTGTGAGTCAGGACCCACTCAATGGCACCTAACAACAATCCAACAGTCATGTAAAAGATAATACAGATCATCCAAAATACATTTCCTTTTAACCCAAATTAGTTACTAAAGAGACATATAAATCAACTGGTCCTCTGAAATCTTGGAATCAAACACCATGATTTTCAATTCTTGTAGCATCGATTTTTGGGTGGAATTTGCTTTTGATCACAGGAAGCCTTCAAACCCAGCTTGAACGAGGTGTGGTGCCATCTAAAGGAGTATAATGTGCCGGTATGTAAACGACCACATACTTACGTATCTGTGTGGTACTCCAGGTCTGTACCTCAAAGCTTCTGTGTGTCCCACAGCACCTCTGTGAATTGACTGTGGAGCCCCTGTCCACCTTGGCATATAGTTTGGGGATGATGGTGTTACACTAAACTGTTAGCCCACAGCAACCAAGTTCTATCACCCAGAGGCTTTCCTGACTTCTACAAATTCTGGGATAGGTAAATAATGGAGGCTCCCACAATATCATCTTCTGGCCTACAGTTATTACTCTTTCCTATATGATTTATAGGAGAGATTACTGTAGTATATTACTTCCAGGGGATGGGAGGTGAGAGTGATAAAAGTAGGTTCAAATCTCACTTTTCCAGTTACTGATTTCACAGTAATATAAATGATGATCAAAATAGTTTGTCTTACTGGTAAGATAGGAACTGAAAATCCAGGGAATCCAGGGCGGATGAGCCCTGCAGGACCAGTGGCGTGAGTGGCAAAACAGGGAGGGTAGAGGGAGAATGGGTAGAAAAGAGGGAACCGATTACAAGGAACTATATGTGACCTCCTCCCTGGGGGACAGACAACCGAAAAGTGGGTGAAGGGAGACGTCGGACAGGGCAAGATAGGACAAAATACCAATTTATAAACTATCAAGGGCTCATGAGGGAGGGGGGAGCGAGGAGGGAGGGGAAAAATGAGGACCTAATGTCGGGGGTTTAAGTGGAGAGAAAATGTTTTGAGAATGATGTACAAATGCGCTTTACACAATTGATGTGTGTATGGATTGCAATAACAGTTGTATGAGCCCCTAATAAAATGTTTCAAAAAAATAAAATTAAAAAAATAAATAAATAAATAAAAAGTAAATTTGGACAAAAAAAATAGTTTGTCTTGATTACTCTTCCACTAATGATCTAACTTAATCTTCATAATAACACTGCTAGATGGGTCTCCAGGTCACAGATGGCATAAACATTTTGCTCTGGGTGACTAAGCAGAATGTCTGCAGTTTGAATCCACTCCACCATGCTGTGGAAGAAAGACCTGGCAGGCAATCTGCTCTCATAAGATCACAGCTAGAAAGCCCTGTGGAATAAATTTCTACCCTGAAACACACTGGTGTGCAATGAGTTGGAATTGACCCTTTATTAATATCCTGTATTTATAAACTGAGTATAGGAGAGTTCAGGAATTTGCTCAAGATCCTATGAAAGGATCTTGGAAAGTTACTTAACTTCTATAAATCATCCGCTCCCATTTTTACAATGGTGGAACTAATGTCAGGCTGAATAAATATTGGTAAGAAATGTGCCCCAGGGAAAAGAAAGATAGAAGGAAAAGATGTCTCAATTTTCAAATCCGACTCCTTTTAGATGGATCATTTTCACCTCTAAACCATACCCCATGACTATTTGATAGTCATTCCCCAAATAACTCAATTAAGTAATTTTGAAAGGAGGCTGGGAAAGGAGGAGAACATTAGTGGATGGAATCCTAACCCAGATAAGAGATGCCATGCTGAAATCTTCAATTAGGGAATGGATCCAATTAAGTGTTTCTCTTTTCTAATCATTGGTATATAACGTCCTGTCCACAAGCGATGGTTATCAGGGGCCAGAGAGTGACCAGAACACAATGTAGTGCCAGTAACCCAAGTTTACAGTAGCAAGCTGAGCCCATCAAAAAGCAACATATACAATTTAACCTCTGAGATGCGTATACATATACCTGGTTTTAACGTTTTGACTGCTACTGGAGTGGTATTGTTCCATAGACCTTCCCACACTTCACCAAACTGACCGGATCCCAGTCGCTTCAGAAGCTGCACAGAGTTACGGTCTATCTCCCACTGGTCCACGGTTTTATAGGACAAATCAAAAGTGGTTGGGATTTGCACCTGTCTCAGAGAAAAATTACAATATTGTGAGTGGGGGGAAGAGTTCATTCTTGAAAATAGTGGCCTAGTTACTTTTCAAAGGAGAAACAATTTCGAAAAAAGCTAGATTTATTTTTTTTTTGAAACATTAACACATTTGTGAAAGAGTAGGCCTTTGTACCTCTGCAAACTCATTTGCCAACCCCTCTGCATGGCAGCTACTTTGCGATCCATCAGCCTCATCCCCACTGCCCTCCTCACGTGACTCTGGAATGCTTCCTCTCTGTGTCTCTGCCTAGCTAAATCCCCCAGATTCAAAACCCACCTCACCTACAAATCCTTCCCAAATTCTCGGCCCTGTAGCATTTAGTATTTGTAATATATACATTTTTAGCAACATTTCATCTTTTTCACATTTCTTCTTCGATTTGTTCATTCATTCAGTAAATAAATATGTTTTAGGTACCAACTAAGTACTATTTTATAAGCAATACAGGCAAAGCCCCTACCTGCCTAGACCTCACAAACCAGTTTGCCACCTACCTTTACATATTTATCTCATCTCCCCCACCAAACCTTAAGCATCTTGAGTGCACATGATATTTTTGTAAACTCTTTCCCCACTGGAATTCACCAATACTTGCGAATCTGAGTAATTTTAGGCTATAACATGCTATGAGGTAAGAAATTAGTCAGCATGATCTTACACATTCTTATAATCCAAGTTATGCATATTTACACCAAAGTCGTATAACCATTTGGCAGGATAAACTAATCAAAAAATGTCATACCTACTGGACAAAATTCTTCAGCTTCTTCTGGCCCATAAAATTCTGAGCAGACATCATTTGGAAGCTTTCCCTTATCTCTCAGGTATAAACCTCAAGGTTGGATATCCGACTAATGTATATGAAACAAGTTCTGATGAGGAGCTAGACTTGCTTATACTGTAATGCATTTCAGTAAAATATGCAAACAACTGAATAATGATACACTCAAAGCCCAGCTCACTGTCCCAGTCATTTCTGGCTCACAGAAACCCTGCAGTGCGGAGTCTTCAGGTAAGGAAAATGCACCCCGGTGTGTTTCTGAGATGGTAACTCTTTATCAATCTAGAAAGCTTCATCTTCTTTGCAGTGGAGTGACTATTGGTTTCAAACTGCTGACCTTGTTGTTGGAAGCCCAAATGGTAACTATTACTAATTCTATTAAATGTTATTTCTTCTTCCAAATATACCAGGTTTAAAAAAGTCAAGCCATTACTTTTCAAGAATAGTTATGACCTGGTAACTTCATATTAATATTCTTATAGAGCTAGTTATGAATTATATTCTTGCATCTTTCTTTTGCCTCCAGCCATATCATTAAGTGCTCTGACAGCAAAGTATCCTACTAAGAACCTATTATAAAGGATGCTTATCTGCTCTCTTCAGTGATTGTCTTAGGTCAGATGTTGCCAAACTTTCCATAAAGGACAAGACAGTAAATATTTTAGTCTTTGTAGACCATACAGTCTCTTCTGAAAGTAGCAAAGTACACCTCTGTGGCATGAAAGCAGTTCAACATCCTACATGAACAGATAAGTGTGGCTGTGATTTAGTAAAACACATATGCAAAGTGTGGGCCAATGTTGGCTCATAGGCCATAAGCTGTCTTGTACTGGCTTACACAATTAAATCCTTTTTCCTCTTATTTTTTCTTTTTTCCCCTCTCAAATAACTTATCACATGGCAAATGCTCCAATATATGAAAGCTTACAATAATAAATAAGCACAACTTTGATGAATTTTACCTTTAAGCATGGGTTTCCCAGTTTGACACACAGGCCGTCACTAGTCTTGGTGTAGTGGCTCACAAATTCATTCAATGTCGCAAAGGTTCTTCTTCGGGTAAGGAAAAAGCCTCCTTCATCCAGTCTTTTGATTCTGTAGTGTTTTACAACTCCTTCATCTAAAACTAGAAGCCAAAGTAGGTTCTGTTAATAGACTTCTTGCCAAAGGAGGGCAAGTTTATTTCTTCTTCTTTTTTTAAAAATCATTTTATTGGGGGCTCATAGAACTCTTATGAAATGCTATTTTTAATGCATGGAATCAAAGTTTCAGACAATTCTATTTATTTCTTACCTTTTTTCAAAAAGGATTTAAGAACATGTGACAGAAAAAAACTGGGAAATCATGACGAAGTAAATATAAGATAAAAATTAAGGAGCAACACTAGCACTAAAAAGCTCGTGTTTGTGAACCAGAATTAAAGGAGCCCTGGAAGCACAGTGGTTAGCGTGCTAGAATACTAATGGAAAGGTCAGGGACAGCCCAGCCACTGCTCCGCAGGATAAAGATGTGGCTGTCTGCTCTCACACAAATGTACAATCCCAGAAACGCTAGGGGGCAGTTCTACTCTGTGCTATCCAGTCCTGATGAGTTAGGATCAAGAGCAGTGAGTTTTCTTTTGGTTCGTTTGGCCTTTTGGTTAATACTTGATTAAAATAGGTCATAAAATTGACTTTATCATTTTAGCAACGCAGTGAAGGAAACGCAATCTATTGTATTAATCTGTAAAATAAAATCCAACCGGTCAATTTTCCTAACAGAGATGCCAGTCTTGGGTGCTGTCAACAATCAGAGAAGTTGCACACAGACTGATAGCGTAGTGCTCACGCACAGTTCAATAAAAGCTATTCTACCAGGCCTAAAGGGACACAATCCAAGTGCATCGCTTTCTGGCAGTGTTGCTTAATCCTAGGATCAAACCTGTACCATCGCAGGAATACATTTGGCTGGCTGTTTGTTTTGAGGAAAGCCCTCTTGTAATGGATATTGTGTTGGCTTTGCCTACCACCCAACATTGTCCCCTTTCCGATAGCAGCACCCCGGTTTTCTTTAGAAACATATTGGATATAGTGGAGGATGTTGTTACTAACCTGAGCTGAGGAAGCCACTCTCAGAGCATAAGAACCAGAAAGGAGACTGCAGGATTGATGGAAAATCACTCCCGGAAGACAGGAAGAGCCCCCACCACGCACATGCCCTTATTGCTGGGGAGGTGGAGCTCTGAGCAGACTCCCTTACTCCCAGACAAGAAGAATTTGCCTGAGAAGAGAGGCAACCCATTCAAAAGCAGTATCAGCCCCTGAAGAAGCTTGGCTTGCCAGCTACCAGGCCCAAATTTCCACTACCTTAGAGTCTTTTCAGGTAGAGAAGCTAATTAATTTGGGGGGGGCGGTGTTTAAATTAGTTTGAATTAGTTTTCCTGCATTTCCATTCAAAAGGATATTGATTAAAGCCTTCGTACCTATTGTATCACTTAGCAGAGCGATGGATAAATATCGAGCAGCATTTACCGGGAATGCAATCATTCTGAGTCTCTTGCTAAATATAAAATGCTGTGCTTCAATTATGAGTCAAGCAATGGTCTAATGAAAGGAAAGCCTATTGCGAAGAGAGCTCAACCCCCGTGTGGCAGTTTACTGAGGGCACGCCAATGGCTGGGACATGATTTTCCTAAGAAAATAATTGATATACACCAGAATGGCTCAAATGAAAAATAGCAAACAAGTATCAAGTGTTGGCAAGGAAGAAGAAAAACTGGAACTCTCTTGCATAGCCATGGAAGTGTAAATCTTTACAACCACTTTGGAAAATGGTTTGACATTATCTACTGAAGTTGAGCATGAGGACATACCTATAATAAAATCCCTACCTATTTCCCCCAGAAGAGTCTGTACAATATATCCACCAAAAGAATGCTTTCAGCAGCAGCATACTTTGCAAGAACCTAAATCTGGAAGTGCCAGAAGCCCTGGTGGTGTTCTCAGCTGCCAACTGGGCTGCTAACCTCAAAGTCAGCAGTTCAGAACCAGCAGCTGCACAGCAGGGCAGAGAGGGGAGTTTCAGTCTCAGAAACTCACGGAGACAGTTCTATCAGAGGGTCATTATGAGGCAGAAGTGACTCAATGGCAGCGCGTGTTTGGAAACTTAGAAGCAATTTAAATTGATTAATGGAACAATTCACAAATCCTGTATATTTGTCAGTGAAATCCTGCGCAGAATTGTGAAGAAGCAAACGTTAACTACACAGAACAGCATAGATGAATCTGAAAAGCACAGAAATATATCTGGATGTGGTAGTAAGATATTTGTATGTCAACTGGACACTCCTGGCTAGGGGTGTAGTCAGACCTGTCAATCAGGTCACCGCCTGATGCTGTCTCCTTGGGGACATAGGGTTCTCATAAGGAGGACTGGGGAGACCGCCTTTTCTTTCTGGCACTCTGCCTCCCTGCTTGCTGGGACTCTGGTGGCCACCCAGAGAGCTGCTAGCGCCCTGCCGTGTTTCCACCACTGACCTTGGATCCACATGATTTTACACCCACTGGACTGTGAGCTTCGTGGGTTCTGCATCACTGTATGGACTGTGTGAATTAATGAGGGAATTGTGGCCCGGTTTTGGACTTACGGACTTGAGTTGGACTGTGCTGGGATGCTTTCTTGACATATACTTCTTGTTATAAAGCTCGTTCGTATACATATCTGAGTGTATATGATTTGTGTACTGGATTTGCCTAATGCACTGGATAATTTAATCATTTAAGAGCAAGCAACGATTAGTATTAGAAGGCATTCGACTGTATAGGTCATAACAAACTCTGAATAAACTTGAGAAGAAAGGGAATTTCAGAACACCTCATTGTGTGCATGGGGAACTTGTCCATGGATCAGGAGGAAGTTGTCTGAACTGAACAAGAGAATACTGCATGGCTAAAAGTTAGGAAAGGTGTGTGTCAGGGTTGTATCCTCTCACTCATTCAATTTGTTTGCAAATCATCAGAGAAGCTGAATTATATGAAGACGAATGCTGCATCAGGATCGAAGGAAATTTATTAACAGCCTTGGGTACACAAATAACACAACTTGCTGGGGGTAAGGAGGACTTGAATCACTTGCTGATAAAAATGGATTACAATTCAAGGTAAAGAAAACCAAAATCCTCACAACTGGACCAGTATGTAACATCATGATAAATGAAGAAAAGATTGAAGTTGTCAAGGATTTCATCTTGCTTTCATCTACCATCAATGCCCATGCAAGCAGAAGTCAAGAGAACCAGTAACACGTTGCTTTGAGTAAATCTGCGGCACAAGATCTCTTTACAGTGTTGATAAGCAAGGATATTACTTTGAGAACTAAGGTGTGCTGACCAAAGACATGGCATTTTCAATTTCCCCACACATATGTGAACGTAGGGCACAAAATAAGAAAGCCTGAAGACGAATCAATGCATTTTAATTACGGTGCTGGTGAAGTATATTGAAAGTTTCACGGATTGCCAGAGGAATAAACAAATCCGTCTTATAAGAAGGACAGCCGGAATGCTTCTTAGCTATAAGGATGGTGAGGCTTCATCTTATCTACTTTGGACACACAATCAGGAGAGACCAGTCCCTGGAGAAGGACATCATGTTTGGTGAAGTAGATGGGGCAGCGAAGGAGAGGAAGGGTCTTGGCCGGAGGAACTGATACAATGGCTGTGAGAATGGGCCTAAACATAAGAACAAACGTGAAGATAGCACCGGACTGGGTGGCATTGTGTTCTATTGTACATAGGGTCACTATGAGTTGGCACAGCCATGATGGTGCCTAACAACAACAGCACTTGGTATTAGAAATCATCAGTGACTAGAGTATGGTAACATTATATTTCTTGTCGGGGTGCTGATTACTCTTGGGTGTGTTCACTTTATAATTAATGATCAAATGTACTCTTATAAATTCTGTACATTTGTTATGTGTTTTATGTACTCATTTTTAAAAATACTTTAAAAATCGGTCAGCTGCTCTGGTTCATGGGGAAATAAAAAAGCAAGTCCCCAGCATTCTACATCCTATCACATGTTAAATTTTTCAGTCTGGAGACATTTTTCTGTAACAATTATCACCTAGGACATCAAAAATTCTTAGTAAAGCACCCATGGAAATGGAACTTTAACAACAGTAGGTTTCTGGGAATTACAAAAATATCTACTTCAAAATATATATGAGTCCTTGTTATAAAAACAGAAAAATGACAGTGATTACCAATCAAAACTGAAGACTTACGGTGAACAAATTAGTTTGAAGGTAGCCTGGTTATAACAATAGCAACCCTTTAAATTGTATTCAGTGAGGATAACGTTCCTTTGCTCCCTGATGAAAGAGCCAGCAAAGCCTGTGACTTTTCTGCTCCTTTGGGGTATCGGATAGTCCCACTTCTGCTTCAAGTCATCAGCAGAGTCTCAGTTAAACCTTAGAAGGTCTAGCCCAAGGAGTTCACCCTAACGCTACTGGATTTAAAGCCTCTTCCGCAGAGCAGGCCTGCTTCAGATTAGAAGACACCAGAGGTAGAGGTGGGGAGTGGAGGCTTCTTTCTATTTTCTTCTCTAGAGCTATTCCCTCCTCCCCTTGCAGATGGGCTGGCTCCGAGTATTCAGAGCGGAGAAAGGAGAGACGAAGAAAAGTCTTATTTAGACCTGCTTCATAGTAGACCAGCTTTACATCCTCACCTAGACAGGTGTTTTGGCCAATCCATCTCTCACAGCTTCTCAGGCAGACCCTCCTTTTGAAACTCCAACAATGTAGGTGTTTCCATGGCTGAGAATTCCCCGCTCCCCCTCCCACTTCTGTCTACCCTCTCCCTTTAGAGCTTTCCTCATTCTCTGGAAGGACACTTTTGGGTAGAAACCCCCAATTCTCCAAGTCATCTATCTACAGTCCCAGGTGCTTTTGTTTATGTAGAAAACCCACTTATGGTCCTGAGACACGATGTAACACATCCCTTACCCTGACCATCACAGGAGTGAACAGGTTAAGGTTTTAAGCATCTCTACCCTATTCCCACAGGCTGTTTTAGCCTTCTCCACCTCCATAGGCCCCAGTGCTCCCATCTCCCGAACTGCCAGGGCAGAGAGTACGTTTTTAGGG